TCCAGCTCGGCCTGGTACAGCTGCTGGTCGATACACTGACGCCAGTTCTTGAAGATGATGGTGATCTGAGAGGAAGAAGACGACATTGAATGTCGTTTTCCATAATAGCTCCACGATTATTTTCATAAATGTTTGTTTTTGTTACAGTTTTATTTATTTATTGTGACATTTTGTCAGTTTTCAGCAGGTCTGACTTTCATTTCTCTCTTTTCACTGTAAACTGCATTTTGTGCACCAGGCTGTAGTTTATCGGTCAGCCCTGCAGCAGACTGACGGCGTGCACCCCCCGTAAGTTGAGGTTTGCATGAGAAGCTGATGGTGCATTTGAGTGCTCCTGTAAGTGTCAGCACTCACCTTGGTGAGAACTGTGGCGTACATGCCCCCCCTGGCTGGCGAGCTGGTGGCTTGTACGTACAGATACTCATTGTCAATGAGAGGCCACGCCCCCGGAACGGCGCATGTGTGGAAGTCATTGTTGAACGTCCTGATGTGTGGGTCTCCGAACACGCTGCAGTGCAGGTATTCGGGCGTCTGCCCCTCCCTGCTGAAGAAGCTCCTCTCATAGAGGCAGGTGTCCCCCGACAGCGTCTCAGCAGGGGGGGCCCGGGGCTGTGCCGTGGGCCCGACCCGGGGGCAGCGATGCTGGATGAGCAGATCTTCGATTCCTTGGACCGCAGAGTGGTAAGCGAGGTCACCGCGACACGCTCGCGACAGCCTCTTGGTGCACATGGCGTACGAGCGCAGGGCGCTGCAGTAACCGGCGTTCGCCGCCTGCCTGCTGACAGCTGCTGCTCCTCCTCCTGCTGCCCCACCGCCGCTGCCACTACTGCTGCTGCCCAGGTCCAGCGTTGCAGCCACAAAATCCGAGTTACACCTCAGGATAAGACAGGAAGCTGTAACTGATAAGAAGGAGAAAGTGTTTAGCATAAACAGGCTCACAGACACTCGAACTACGGCTCCCACCATGCAGTAGTTTCCACATTTGCCTGATCAGCAAATGATCTCCGGTTTAATTCTGGAAGGAGATACAAATCCCTCTGGAATTGCATCAGAACTGCTGTGGCAATCCTTTGTGAATAAAGGAGAAGCTCAAAGTAGCTTCTTCTTACACTGGTTGACTCTGGAGACACAAGTGGACACTGGAACTGCAAGTTTTGCCACGTCCACGTTGACTTTTTGACTTTTACCGTCACAGTTCTGGAGGTTGCTGAAAACCAGCTTCATGCAAGTGAAGCCAAATAAGGAAAAGCTCTCCTGGGTGCACTGAACTGGCTTCCTAGTTTAGTCTCCAGGAGCCTGTAATACGATAATACTGCAGTTTCAGCATTTTCTGGACTGAAATGATGTGAAGAATAAATATAAAAATATATTTCAAATGTAGCACTAGCTTACTTTGAAATTTGATTTGGTAAATGGTAAATAGACCAGACAGGTCGCATCACTAACAGAGAGAGAACGACAACAATGGGCACTCACGTTCACACCTGTGGACAGTCCAGGTCTCAAACTCTCGGCCCGCGGGCCACTTGCAGCTCCCTTAACCTCTACTTGGTGTGAAGAAATATTTTTTTTAATCATTATTCAAAAAATTCTATTAATATGAAGGCATGAGCAGAGTGTTACAGGCATGGGCAGTGTAGTCCGTGCTGCAGGGAGAATGGACTGCCATAC